TGGGATTTGTGACTCTTCTACTTCCCGGAATAGTAGTGGGTATTTTGTAGTATCAATGATGTATCCAAAAATGTGCCTATTCCACGTGCTTGGAATACCGTAGGTATTTTGTAGTTCGATGCAAAAAAGGAGTGTGACTGCTCCACCCGTGCAAAAGACCAGGTGGAGGTTCCGTGGTCGCTTTGTGTTAAAGACCATGTGACCATTTGCATGGAAAGCAGTGGCCGCTTTGTACAAAAGACTGTGTAGGTGTGAATAGATACCATGTCGATGTGAATCGGCGGCTGCGTTGCGTAAAAGACCATGTGGCTGGGAAACGGTGGCTGTTTTGTACAAAAGACCATGTGGGCAAGACCGCAAAAATCACTGGCCAGTTTGATACAAAAGAAGATACGATGTGGATGTCTATCATTGGCCGTTTTGTGCAAGAGACTGTGTGAATGTGAATCCGTGTAAATGACCATGTGGATGTGAATGAAATATACCTTTGTGTTCCGCAGCGTGATGTCCCGGGCAAAAGCCCCATCCAGCATGAGATTCCCCGCTCCGCCCTCATTTACACGGTGTTTATCGAAATTTCTCATTTTCTCGTTTTCACGTTGTTTTAGAGACATGTTTATACAGTTGCTTTGGAAACCAATTTGGTTTCCTTAATTACATTGTCTTTCGAACAATCAACGATTGAAAACAAAGGTTCTTCAGTTGGGGCCCCGGAAGTCGTTTGGACAAGCTGGTTCTGATTCTGGCTCTAGCTACTGTAGTTGTCAGATGCAGCAGAAATCCTTGCGTGAAGTCCCAACATCACCGTGGAAAAACATTGGAAACACATGTGGACCACTGTTGACCAAGCGTTCTACCAAGTGCTTTGCTCAATGTCTTTTTTTTTCAACTTCTATATTTCTCCTTAAAGCGTTCTATTAAATTCCATTAAATTCCCTTCTTCTTCGGCAAAAAGGGGCAAACCCAACCGCCCGGGGATGGCTGTCTGGAGGCCCAATACGTACTTTCACCGCTTGGGACGCCGTCTGTGCAGACCATCCGCTCCAAAGGCGCGTCCGGCGCGTCCGTCACGACTGTCACGTCCAAAAAGCCGTGCCTTAAGGCCTTGCGGCCTTGCCCTAACGCTTGCTTGCAAAGGCAGTGACAGAAACCAAACATGTGCCTCTCGCATGAAGTGTTCTAACTAATGCTAATTTTAAAGCAGAATCAGTATCAGTATCCACAGGAGACTGCCACAGAAAAGGCGCTAATATAACCACAGCTCAGCCATGCTCAGCCAACTTTCTTTTCGATGGAGTGACTATACAGCATCCGACCACGTTCTATACATGTCATTTTCTTCGATGCGTCTTCATCTCCACACTGTGGCTTTGTCAGGGGTGACCAAAGTGAAGCAGAAACTGGAAGCCTAGAACCCAGAAAAATCGCTGCGTGCCAAGTCCGGCCAAGGTGCCAAGATGATAGCTTCCGTAGCATGCAGTTGTTCCGAAAAATGTGAAATGACTGAAATGAGCCTGGCCATGTTGGACATCCCTTGATGCTGATCTTGCAGAATCAATGTTGCGATATGTTGCGATGCTCCATTCTCAACGCCAGGGAAATGAGATAAAATGAGCATGGCCAGTTTGTTGACAAGCTTCAAGCTTCAGTTCTTTTTAGATAAGCACAGGCTCAAGACATTTGAGTGCCTTGCCGGCGCTTGCCAATTGACATCGACAAACCTGTCCCCGTTCGTTGATGAACCATGCAGCTGCCCCACAAATTACCCGGGCAGGTGCCAAGTTGATGTCCATTACAACGGTAAACAACGGTAGACATGTAGCTTGTTGGGAACCCACCTTCTTCGGCACGAATCGGCCGATTTGGGGGGACCTTCATGGGCCGTTCCACGACATTGAATGAAGCAGAACTGGTAGTCGAAGCAGGTTCAGAGAGTGGAAATCCTCTCATGTTGAGGCTCAGATCCAGTGGAACTACAGAGGTTCTGATTTCTGCGCCTTTAGCCTGGAACAAATGGCACTGTGTTGTCCTCGCACGGTTTGCTAATGGTTTTGCACGTCTGACTTTGGATGGAAAGGAGGTGCCAGATAGCAAAGCACACAAAGAAAAAGACACTGAGACCGAAGGAAGCACAGTGCGACCGACTTTGAGTACTATTGAGACTGCTTTTCGGCTCTTTGGATCCAAGCGTGCCGAAGAATTGTCGAAAGGCTCTTTTCTGAGGTTTGTGCTTTTTTGCCGTGAGTCTTTGGAAGCTTCACCACTGCAGGTTCTCTTAAGCAAAAAGAAGAAGTGGATGAAAGCGATCCAACCACCACCCTTAGTGCTCCAGAAATTGAAGCTACTGAAGAAGCAGGCGCACCCCGTTTTTCAGGATGCCTCATTCTTTGGCTGTTTCTGTGATGCTTTTATCAGCGCTGGGCAGCAGCCGCAAGAAGTGATTCGCAGCCATCGTTTGGTTTTATTTGCTCTGGAGACCTTGATGAAGGAGAGCGCTCATCACACGAGCTGCGGCATCTCACGTGACTTGCTCCAAAAGACTTATGAACAGCTTCTCCGATCCTCGAAGCTCTTTGAGAAGATTGACTTGCTTTGGGCAGTTTCGGAGCCAGACATTGACGAGCAAGTGCCATTGGTGAAGAACTTTCTCAAGGTCTTGAACGAGTTGAGGTAGCTGCTGGCCACAAATGGGTCGAGTTTCGGACCTTTGCTGATACCCTTTGGCCTAGTACAAATGACTCGGGACGGACCGGAGAAGCAGTTTGCCTTGCTTATCTTGGAGAAGCCTGATGATACCTACCGGCTAACCCTTGTGAATCCCGGACAGGGCAAAGAGTATCACAAGGCCTCTGTGCAGGGCCATCCCAAGGTAAAGTACCAGACATCCATGGTTTTTGAGGGAATATGCTGTGAAAAGGCTGAGGACGATGCATTTTGGCTATCACTTTTCTCTGCAGTCCCTACTGTAGGGCAGAAGTCAGAGTGGCATCTTCTATACGATCTATTTCTGCCTTTTCTGTTGGGCCCTATGGGGCAGACCAGAATGCTCGAGGATGCACTTCATGATTCTAGAGATCAAGATTGGCGAAGCCCCCAACATGGAAGCGGATGCTGGAAGGTCATCATGCACGGGCTTCGGCAACTACTCCGTTCAAGTTCGGTTTCGGTGACCGACGCGAAGCTATTCCAATGGAGATTGCGACAGCAGTTCTTTCGAGCGTCGCTGGAAGATGCGGATGCAGTTCCAAGAATCAGCTACAGTCAAAGGACATGCCTCCGCATTGCAGCCTCGCAACTTGGATTGTCAGCTGCGAAGCTGGATGTTCGTAGAGTTGCCGAACACGGATCAGAGTTGCTGAAAGAAGCAAAGCAACTCATCCAACGATCTGATGAGGCACTGGCAGCAAAACCCGTCTTGTATTCTGGGGAGCTGCCGCTATCCGAGCTTCAGCTTGATGTCTTGGCCTCACCAGCCCAAGATGGTGCTACTGCACATCCCAACCAGTCTTTACGCATACCTCCTCAGATCCCCCTAGATCTCTTGTCTTTGCGCGAGCACGCAGAGACGATTGAAGAAGCGATTCAGAGCATTTACACGGCCGATGAGATTTGTCGAACCCTGTCCGGGATGCGTCAATCTGGTCGTTGCAAGTTCGGTCACCTCTTCATCGTGAACGTGTTGCAGCAGCTCTTCACCGAAATCGTTCCTACTCCACTGGGACCAGCATCGTCTGACAAAGACAAGATTTGGTCCAACGCAGACTTCAGATCTCCGCACCACTATCTGACCAGACCCATGATCTCCGATCTGCAGCAAGTTTTGCTCCGTCTTTGTTCGCATTTTGCTGCCGCAGCATACAGTATTCTTTCCCTCTAGGGAAGACACAGCTGTCCTTGCAGAGGCGAGAGCCCATCTGAGTCGAGGCTTTGATTCCGTTCTTGGCGTTTTTGGGGCCATGGCTGTCCGATCGTCTGGCGCGGCGGATGATTCCGCAAGACCAATAGGATTCGTCTGGCCCAACAAGTCCAAGTCGTCAGAACGCTCTGGAATCCCTCCAGTTCCACTCAATGCCCTCACCAAAATACTCAATGGCTCAGCTGATTCAGAAGATTCTGGCTTTGCCATTTTGATTGATGCCTTTGTGGTTCAGTCAGAGGCTATAGAAGTGGCCATTCCTGTACTGCACACGAGTCGTTCGGCAACTATCAACTACTTTGTGGAGGTTACTGAATGGCTTGAACTGAAGGGAGATCGGGGGCGCGTTCTCTTTGATTGGGAAGATGGGCAGTGGGAAATGAATGCTCACGATCACTACGGAAGCTCAATCTTTTGGCAGCCTCGTTCTTGCACAGTGGAAGTGCAGAACGGCTCCTCACGGGTGAGGATTCTTACTTGGTGGTGGAATTTCCAGACTTCCGAGCATACCGGGACATCGTGTTCTGGTTCAAATACGCATTGTGTACGGACCTTCGGGTGTTTCCACAAGGGTCCTTCTCACAAAGCCAAGCAACTTTGCGCTGGGAGTTGGAAAGAGGCAAGTACTATGTAAGAGCTCTAGGCAAAATCCTGCTGCAACCGCCAGAAGGAAAGATCAATCCATCTGCGGACGGACGGCGCTGGCAAAGCAGCGCAGCAGCATCCAATCACACGAAGAGTCCGACAACGTGTGAAGACGACTTGCTGTATATGAGGACAGGGAAGCATTTTTGAAGGTTTTGAGACACAGTCTTTTCCGTGCCAGGTAACTAACAAAGCTTCCACTACTATGATATGATGCATCTCCTTGTTTTCTGCTTCCTTGCTCTAAATGTAGGCATTGAGGATGATTCGCCCTTGTGCCATGTTTCCTTCCAACTAAGCGAGGTCACGTGTGTTGAAGTGAGGATCAGTTTCTACTTTAAACCTTTGCCACATCGAATAGGTCTCAGCTTGTATATTCTTCTGAATAGCAGGGGGTGATTCTTGTGCCAGGAGTCTCCCAAACTTTGACAACACACTCATGGCCAGTGATGTCGAGCTGCTTCTCAGCTTCCTCACAGTGCCATATCTTCGCCAACCATTGTTGCTTCGCTTCTTCTGTCGACACGACCGAGTCCTAGCCTTGCGCCATCCAGCCTTGCAAGCTATGCTGCAAGCTGCGTTGTTCGAGCCCGGGCGTTTGATTATGAGCAGCAACGAGTCGAAGTGTCCGGAACGAGTCCCAGCCACCGGGCAGGCAGAGATGGCTTTAATGGGCTCCCCGAACGGCCAACTCTTGTTGGAACTTGCGCGCTCGCCCAAACCCTTACTGCACGCTCTCATCGACTGCTTAAAGCTGGCGTTAGATGTGGCCACCTCATCAACTTCCAAGACAGTGGACCTCTATGCTCGAGTGATGAGCGCCGTTACATTCGTTTACCAGATCATGAAGGGAGAGCACAGGTCCCAGCAAAAGAATTGGGAGTTGGGTTTGCCGGAGCCCGGCGCGCGCAAGGAGCAGGAGGTTCTTTGGACCCTACAGCAAGCCATGATTGACCATGAGAAGCGCGTGTCGGAGCACGAAGGGCAAGGGCTTATGACTTGCTTAGAGCGTTGGTTGCAAGAACTTTGGGACAGCTGCCAGAAGAAACCTCATCTCACAGACGAGAATGTGCAGCGGATGTGCGACATCCATGCCCATATTTTGCTTCTGCTTCGCGGCTTGAAGTTGGTGGGGAAGCCCAACCAAGAACGATCTCCCTGCCACCATGTCCGCAGGCTGCTGGGGTCTTTTTCCTTCCTGGTTGCTCGTCACACCTGGAATGCTGGGTTCCTGCAGATACCCGAGCCAGAAGTGATGGAGGTGCTGCAAGTTCACAGACGTTTCTTGATTGAATGGCTGAATTCTTGCGATTCCACCAGTTCTCCGGATGAGTTTCACGAGGTGTTGAACATCGTTCTGAAGCAGTACACACTTGGAGACCACATGACCACAGCCAAGAAGAGATGGAAGCGCAAAACAACATGGCTTGGGGCAATGGGTTGCTATGCACTTGACGCGTGCTTTGATCGTGGATGTGTCAAGCCATTGCCTCGAAAAGACGTCTATTGGCTGGAAGTGAATCTCCAATTGCTGCAGGTGTCAATGAGAGGCACATTTGTGGAAGCTCTAGCAGCAGATATCGTCAAGAGCCCTGCTTTGCAACGAGTCTTGCACCGTGAAGGTCGAGAACTACGTACGATGCAGGGCAGCAGAGCTCTTGAGTCTGAAACGGTCATTGCATATGAACTGATGTCGTGCGATTTGATGACTTTGAGGTGTGTGGAGGTGGGTCCTAGTTTGCCCGAGTTCTTCTTGCCAGTACGCTTGGTCTATGATCAGTATGATGCTGAGGATTTGGAAGGAGGCTTGGAGTGGGTTGGGGATTTGTTTGAGCCAATTCGTACGCAATTCTTTGTCCCACCAAATCTGAAGTTGAGGGAACCCGCAAAGTTCTATAGTGAAGCTTCAGCCTCAGCGCCTGTGGTTGTTCTATCTTGCAGTCATCCCGACTTCCCTGGCAAGTTCTGGAATACTGCTCTGATTGTCGCTTCAGCTTGCGGCATATGGGGGTTGTTCAAAAGTCCTTTCATTTTTTCCAGGCCTTTCGCAGGACCTTGGCGAAGCTTTCGCAAGCTTTCGCGCGTGGGGTTTTACCACTGTCGGCGAAAATGGTTTTTCGTTGGGGCTAGAGGCTTTCAAGGATTCATGCAGTTGCCCTGGCACGTCTTGTGTCCTCTGATCACTGACACATTGATTGCTGAGGAACAGGAAGCCAGCCAACCAAGCAGTTTTCAAGTTGGTGTGTTTTTGGTTGGGCACAACCCTCCATGAACAAGAGACGGCTCAGTCAGGCCAGTTTGCTCAGACTTCCAATTTGCTTTTTCCCGGGCCGGGAAAAAGCAAAATGGTTCAGACTTCGAATTTGCTTTTTCCGGGGCCGGGAAAAAGCAAAATGGTTCAGACTTCGAATTTGCTTATGGTTCAGACTTCCAATTTGCTTTTTTCCAAGCCGGGAAAAAGCAAAATGGTTCAGACTTCCATTTTGCTTTTTCCCGATGGTTCAGACTTCCAATGGTTCAGACTTCCAATTCGGGAAAAAGCAAAATGTAAATGTATCAGACTTGCAGTTTGGAATCCGGCCTGGAAACAAGCAGCGCCTGTGGGACTCGATCCCACGAGCTTCTGCTTATGAGCCTGGCGCCTTATCCATTAGGCCACTGCTCTCTGAAACATGCTTTTTCCAGGCTTTAGAAAAGAAAATTGGAACCGCACGCTGGAGTCACCGACCGTGTTGTATGCGCACTTAGAGCTGTAGAACCAACCACCTCACCTCACATACCCTCACCTCACATACCTGCACTTGTGGGCATGCTATGAGTGCATCTGCAGCTGGAGTGTCCAGCGCGTGCTTCCAGCAAGAAGAGTGGAGTGGGGTGGGGTTTGGCCCCGTCGTCTTTCGCGTCCACAATGCGAACCTTTCGCCATACTTGCGCAGTTTCCCACGACAAAGAATTTTCCAAGGGTCGGGAAAAAGCAATTGGACATGTATCAGACTTCCAATTTGCTTTTTCCCGG